AAAAAAAAAAAAAGAAAGAAATTATAATGGAAATTGATAATAATGATTGGTAATAGAAATATGACCTGTCACATCTTGTTTGATGAAGCTAGAGCCAATGCTTAAAGAGCAATGTACAGCCTTGGGGCACCTGGGTGTCTCAGTCAGTTAAGCTCTTGATTTCAGCTCAGGTCATGATGTCAGGGTTGTAAGATCAAGCCCTGTGTCAGACTCCATGCTGGGCGTGGAACCTGCTTAAGATTCCCTCTCTCCCTCTCCTTTGCCCCTCCCTTCCCTCTGGCATGCATGAGCTCTGTCTCTTTAAAAAGAAAAAAAATTACAGCCTTAAAATACTTATAGTAAGAGCAAAGGTTGAAAACCAAAAAGCTGAGTGTCCATTTCAACAAGTTAGAAAAAAACCCCAGCAAACTAAACCAGAAGGAAATAGAAGGAATATAATGTGGAAATAAAGCAATAAATAAATAAATAAATAAATACAAAGGCTGAGCAAAGCCAAAAGTCGGTCCTTTGAAAAGATAATCTCTTGTTGAGCCTAATCAAGAAAGGAAAGGCAAAAGTAATCAGTATTAGGAATGGTTAAGGGGACAAACCTACAGATGTTACAGACACTACAAAGGTGAAAGAATATTATGAATTACTTTTTGTCAATAAATTCGAAAATGAAAATGGGATAGACATATTCCTGTTAACAGTGAATCTCACCACTGGGAGTACCCAAGACTCCCTCAGGGAATCCATTAGATCAAAATTATTTTCGTAATAACACTAAGATATCATCTGCCTTCTTCACTGTACTGGCATGTATAGTAATTGGGCAGAAGATGCGGTGAGTCAAACTACAGGCACCTTAGCAGGAATCAAGGCAATGGCACCAAAATGTACCACTAGCCATTGTATTCTGTAGCATCACACACTCACAGGGGGGAAAATCAATTTCACCTAAGTGTCCTTGATGAAGTAACAAAAATTGTTAAATTTATTACATCTCGTTCCTTGAAAACACCTTTCTGGGACACCTGGGTGGCTCAGTCAGTGAAGTGTCTGCCTTCGGCTCATATCATGGTCCCAGGGGATCCTGGGATCGAGTCCCGCGTCGAGCTCCTTGCTCAGCGGGGAGCCTGCTTCTCCCTCTCCCTCTCCCTGACGATTTCCCTGCTTGTGCTTTCTCTGACAAATAAATAAAATAAAATCTTAAAAAAACCAAAACAAAACAACCCACATCTTTTTAAAATTCTATGTGGCAAAACGGGACGTATATACAAAGCACTTCTTCAGCATACCAAAACATAATTTTCTCAAAGAACAGCCCTTTTGTGATTGAGTTATGAGCTAAGCTAGTCCTTTTTTTTTTTCATGGAATGCCATTTCTACTAGAAAGAGACTAAGAGACAAACTGTAATTATTCAGACTTCAGTATTTGACAGATTTTTCTCAAAAATGAAGTGTCTGTGGCTTTAAAGACAACTGACAATATTTGTTACCAATGATAAAATTTGAGCTCTCGATAAAAAGTTTAGAACACTTGAACACTATGAGCTTTCTAGCTCCCCAATAAAGGTGTATCTGACTAGACTGATGTTGATATGAAAAGTGATTTTTTTATAATGCATAATGAAATGTGTCAACATTTGGAAGATCTGCATAACTCAGGGAACCATTACTTTCTAAATAAATGATGTTACAAAATCACATCCAGATAAAAGATCATTCCAAGTAAGGTAAGGCAACGGATTTTAAAATAATCCAGTACAAATGGGATTCCACACTGCAACTAACCTTTAAGAAAGTATCACTTGTCTAATTTTAGTGAAGTATCAAGACAAGAATATCAACAATTCTGAAAAGTTTATTAAGATAACTCCTCTCTTTTCCAAATATATATATGTATGAGGCCAGGTTTTCCTATGCTTTGACCAAAATAATATAATGCAACACACTGTATGTAGAGGCAGATAGTTCAGATGCCTCATACATTTTTTAAGTTGGAAGCATAATTTTAAATAAAAATGTTAACATGTAATGAGTTTAATTCTTATAGAAATAATATCTTTGAGGGGCACCTGTGTGGCTCAGTCATTAGGAGTCTGCCTTTGGCTCAGGTCATGGTCCCAGGGTCCTGGGATCAAGCCCTGCATCGGGCTCCCTGCTCCACAGGAAGCCTGCTTCTCCCTCTCCCACTCCCCCTACTTGTGTTCTCTCTCTCGCTGTCTCTCTGTCAAATAAATAAATAAAATCTTTAAAAAAAAACCTTTAAAATGTGTTTTAATTTCTAATGCAGTAAATATCTATATAAACCACATAAACCAAAACTCTTTGGGATGGGGGAGTCCTCAGTAATTTTTTTCTGAGTATTCAGAGACCCAAAAGTTTTGAGAACTGCAGTCCTAGAAAAACCCAACTTGCCAAAACTAACAATAAAGAAACAAAATCTGAATCCATAATTAGAAGCCTTTGCCTAAAGATCATTCCAGGTCCAGTTGGTTTCACTGGTAAATCCCTCCCCCGCTCCAATAATCTAAGGAAGGAAATAATTTACAGAGAGAAAAGCAAAAAAGTCATTGTAAGGCAGCCCCTGAGGAAAGGAGAGCAAACATCTGCACCCTTGTCTGCCTACGGCTCTGCTGATTTTCTGCTCTAGATCTGCTACAGATGCATCCTAGAAGAAACACCTTAATTCTCTGGTGGTCTGAGTCTCTTGTTTCTTGAAAACAGTACCCAAATTCTGGAGAGTATATACAAATCTGTTGTGGACATTTTAGTCAACACTTTTGTATGCACTGTGTAGCAACCATACTGTTTGGGGAATGGACTCCAGCTTGAAGGCTAGCTCGGATTTGTCTGAGCCAATCATGGTAATTCTGTTTCTCTTGTCCATGACGGGTTTAGGAAATCAGGACATTGGGACAAGTTAAGGATCTTGCCTATGTTAAATCTTATATTAAAAAGATGTCTGGAGAAATATGCTGAGGCTTCTGGGAAATCTTCCCATGTGAGAGAGATAAATTAGAAGTGTTTTTCTTTCTGGATGATGATGTGTATACAATGGGGTCTAGAACTACAGACAGCTAAAGTCTGAAAGGAAGCCAGCATACACAAGGGGTAGAGTTGAGAAAATCACAGATATACAGAGCTAGAGTAACATGAACAAACCAATCCTAAAAGCCCAGTCTACCCTTAATTTTGTAGTGAGCCCATTTCCTATATTCGGCAACTTTGAAATGGGTTTTCTCTTTCTTGCAACTATAAGCATCCCAAGTAAGTTACTATTTTGAAACTATTTAAATGAATACTGCTTCAAATTGCAATTGTACAAAAGGAATCACTCCCAAATTAATAAGCTAGACAAACCCTCATTCTGTCTGAAGAAAGGCACACCTTCCATTTGTGCTACACCGTATTGGTAGAAAATCAAGAAGTCGTGGATGGTGTGTGAGAGCAAACCCATTAACCATTAAAAGTATTATGAATACAGAGGAACTACTTGGTATCTGCTTAAATTCAACATTGTCCTGGGATGTTGATTTTATCTGATAAAGACAGGTCAAGAGTATATGCTTTAGAATCAGACTGGAGACCTCGAGTATTCTTATAAGGGCCAATTATTATGTATTCACACAAAGTTCTGGGGAGCAAAAGGGAGCCCAGGACCAAAGGATGACTTTTCCCTTTGGCAGAGTTCACTGTACACTGAAACTGAATGGTTTCTGAAAAGGCTACCAGACAAGATGGATTCATCTCTAGCCACTTGCTGTTTTGTGTATCCTAAGAAGTTACAGAGCAATCTAGGGATCCCCTTTTACCAAATTACATTTTCCCAAGTATGAAGTTTAGTTATACGTCATTTCCTTTAATAAGCACATATGGGGGGGGGTAGATAAAACAAGTATTCTGCATAGTAAGTGCAAACTGAATACCCAAGAAACCACTATTTGGTCATGTCCTTACTTCACAGGATCCTTTTCACCTTCCGCACAGGAAAACGCATCTAACCTCGTGAGATCCAGTGGCTACCGGTCAGCAAAACTTCTGGATCCTTTAGGAGGAAAAATCCTAAGTAAACTGCACTTCAAGAACAATGGAGAGGTTATATGGGACTCAAACTTCATGTCAACCCCCCTTTGAATCTCTGGCTCTAAGATGATGCAGAGAATTTCTTTCTTTGGAGATGTGTTTCCTCTAACCAGCAGGCTTCCTGTCACTAGAAAAATTAAGACTAAATACCACTACATTTCCAGTTGTGCCACTGTGATCCTGGGTGGGAAGAGAGCAAACTGTCTGGGACTCTGATACAGATGGCACCTCCTCTGCAGCCTGGCGGTTTGGGTTGTTACTAACAGTTAAAATGACTCACTAAAGGCTTCCTAAGTGATTTGATCAAGAGCAGATCTATTCTTCTTGTTAAGTCAGCCTGCACTTTTCTCTAAGTATTATACATGTAAACAGTGGGTTAGTACACACCTCAGGTTAGCGTTTGCCTGATTTTGATGACTATAATCATCAAAAAAAGAGTTCAACTCTTTTTCTATACTGTAACTTAGTGTAATATAGTGAACACATGTACACTTTTATTATCCTGCATGTTCCATCTAATATTATATCATTAATACGACATAGATAAATTCAAGACATAAACTACCACCTTTCTACCAAGTATGAAGATATCCTTTTAATATGAAATATGTACATTTGTTATAAGCTGAATCACGTTTATAGCCCAAAGCTTCTGATTAAAATGATTATTTCAGAACCAAGTACATGTTTTAAAATATGCTATGCAGAGCTTAATATGGTATACTTGAATTTTTCTTAATTTGACAAAAATGGACAGAAGGCAAAATGAAAAAAAATTTATTTCCTCTGTTTTATCCACTGTCAATACTGTATTTTTGATGCAATATATTTGCAAAGAAAAAAAAACAATCTCAGCTTTTATTTTCCATTTTAAACACTACAATATTTACAAGCTATTTAGAATAACAAACACTCAGACGCACACACACTCACGGACCCACGCAAGTACATATATTCTTACCTCTGGTTTATACTGAATGCTGGTAAAGGCAATGAATGCTTTCAGAGCCCATGATCAGAAAAGGGAAACCCATTTTCCTTCCTCACACAGATCTTCCTGAACCACTTTTAGTATTCTTCCTTCCATTTCCTCATGCAGAGCTCATTGTATAGGGTTAATCAGTTTTTTACAATTTATTTTTACTTAAACTACAAGCTTTAAAAAGCATAAGCAGACATGATTTCCCCCACATTTCCGTTATTTTGGTTGCAGAATCAAGCTTCACATATAAAAAATCTTGTTTAACCACAGTCACTCTAAACCCAAGAGTCATCCGGAGCAGCCATCTCATTTTCTACCTGCTACTCTGTTTTGAATCCCAGGGCATCGCGTCATCTGTGCAAGTAACACCCAGGCAGCCATCCTTCCCACCATCTTACACGACTGTTGTTCCTTCTAGCGTGGCTCCACTGAATCATAAATTGTCAGGTGCAGAGCTGAGGGCGTAAGAAAAAAGGCCTGACCCTATATAATAGGTATAAGTCTTATGACAGAGTTGTCATGTAACCCTGCGATGACAATCGACTCTGGTTCCCCCAAAGAATGTTGTGTTGCTTCCATAAAATGGCAGATATTAAAGTTTAGCTCGCAAATAGAACTTCAGGAAGAATATGTGGCTAATAGGCAATATAGAGAAATTCTTATCATACATAATTCTTGACAGATGACTCTGGTGAGGTGATTCAAAGCAGAAAATATACTTGTTTCAAGCAAAATTAATGCTCCACTCACATACCTACCAGATCTATTTGTATAATAATTAATTCCTTTCCAGTCACAATTCTTACCAAAACATTTCACAAGTTAAAAATGAGAAGGCCTAGGTGTATACCAACCAGATTTTTTCAACAGAGAAATGAAGAAGAGAGAGGCTAGTTTTTAAATACTTAGTTAAAAACCCCTACAGATATCCAATGTAATATTAAAACTTATGCTGCACAAATACATGGTCCTATCTGACTTTCCTCTTTCTCTACATCAATAAAACTCAATGTCCATGTAAGACTGAAACCAAAAGTTCAAAGGCCATTAACAGGTTCCAAGTATCATTTTAGCCTTGATTGACATTATTTTTCCACTCATTTTAGAATTAATGGAAAAACCTCTGGAACAAAAATTGATGTTGTATACCTTCTCTGAACAATTTATCATATCAAAAGAAAAAGGACTGGGTCTGTGTCCAGGCAAAGTAATTTTGTGTGATTATATTACACTACAGAAAAGAGTAAGAATGAATCCTGAGGGCTTAAACAAAGGGCTGGAGGACTGTCTATATTAATGAAAGAATAAGGAAGATAAACAAAAAAGTAATTAATCTGGGTAGCAGTTTATAGTTTAATAGCTAGTAAACATAAATTCCAAGACTTCTTAAGCAAAATTACTAAGGTATCTTTTTCTCAAGTCATATATTGAGGAGGAAAGATTTTTGAAAGTTAACTAAAAGAAGAAGATAATTTTAGACTCTGGGCAAAGCATAAGTTTAAAAGACCTCGTTCTGGATGGATGACTCAATGCAGCAATCCACCAAATGAAGAATTTCTAAGCAGAGGCAGAAGGATGCTACTCGGAAGCAAAGCGGAATTTATTAAGGCTAGGCTACCCTTGCTTAGATCTGAGGCTGTTTTTTTTATATTTTGATAGAATATAGAAAAACAAAGCAATCCAGGAAGAAAAACACATCTTCCTAATGAGCTTAGTCTCCACATAAAAACATATTTTCATTGCCTGACATCTGGTACACAGAGTAATTTTCCACACCTCACTCAGGATAGAAACACTGACTACTTTGTTTCAAGGATTAGTAAAAGTATCTCAGATACACTTGAAATATTTTTAAAACCACTTCAAATCTAATGGAAGCTCATCTTCCAATAACAGAAACTCAGAGAAGGCAGAAGACTGATGAAGTTTGTTCATTAATTTCCTGAAAGGTAATTAATCTCCTCTTACCTTAAAAATATACAGCCTCACCACCTACTCTTCCAAGCCCCTTAAATATCAACAGCTAATATTAATCTAGACTCTTGGAAAATTTAGAATTCTTTAGAAAAATGTGAACATTTAAAGTTTTATCAAGTATTGAAAACGGTGTAAAAAGAGGGCTCACACCAAGTTATAAGCTGGAAGAGTAACCAAAAGCTTAACTTCGAGTTATAAAGTGATTTTTGCCACTGAATGAGAGGAAATAAGAAAAAAAAGCTAACAATTTATAATTCACTCCAGGACTCTCTCTCAAAAGAAGGAAAAAACAAAATCAAACAAGAAAAAGACCAGAAAGATATCAATGAAACTCTGTTTAAGGGAAATGCATAAAAAGCTAGTATTTTAATTCCATATTCTTATTTTCAAATTATGGAATTCTGAAAGTTTTGGCAATTGTGAACTAAAGACGCTAGTGTATGTATGCTAGAATCTTGTACACTAACGAAGAAAGTTAATCAGGGACTCTAAACAAACAGCTCACTATTCTCCAAGGTGGGGTGGGAAAGGTAGACTAAGACAGTACGATCAACTTACTTAATGGAAGCATGTATATTTGTATGTAATAATTCAGGTCCAATTATTGTTAAGACATGAATCTTTCTTTGAATTATCACTGCTTCCTCTGACATAATTATTAGAAAAGTATTTTGATTTTCAAAAGACTATCAGTTTTAGACTTAAAAAAATAAGAACAGGGCTCCTGGTAGGGGTCCCTAATTCATAAATTCACTAAAGGGCTATCTGATAATAAAATTCAACTTGTTTTGAGATGAATGTCCATAGTTGCTACCCCAAATCAAGACCCAATATATATGTTCTGTATAAAATCTAGTCTTGTGTTTTTAGACTATGGTAATGTGTTTAACAATTGGGGGTGGGAAGTTAGGAATAAAAATAATTCTAGCCCTTCAGACTGAATCATCTGAAGCCCAGGTTTTTTTTACCCCCATGTAAAAAATGAATTATCTTCCATTTAAGATTGAAAGGGCTCCATTTATCTTCCCATCTAGGTAATGACCATGAAAAGATCATCTTCATTTCAGAAAGAGAACAAGCAGCAGGAATCATAACTCCTTTGAGAATATCTTAAATAAATATAGATGGTTAGACAGACAGATCATATATTCAGTTTCAGAAGAGAAAAATAAAAGCCTGAACCTTAATGACATACTGTGAATTTGCCAAAATGAGGCAAATACAGAATACAGAATGTCACGACAATATCAGGAAAATACATTTTAACTGGTCAATTTAGCAAGGGTACCCTCTGTGTAAAGGTTCAGGAAATCCCTCGACAAATGTTTTTAAAAAGTAAATTTTGAAAAGTGTGAAGTATGGAAACATCAGCACGAGGCACACTAGGTCCTAAATTACCACAAAAATTTTAAATTAGAAAAGGGCCAAACAGATGAAAGTGCAGTCGGGTAGCGTGTATTAGCTACTTAGTTTTCCTTCCTTCTGCTGAAGTGTTATGCTACTCTGGAGGAGCAACAGTAGGGAGCGAGGAGGGAGACAGCTCCTCTCTCCTGTCACCTCATCAGAAGACACTTTAAGCCTGTGCCATCCAATACAGGAGACACCAGGCACATGTGGCCAGCGAGTACTGGAAATATGACTAGTGCCACGTGCTGAATGAGTTAACACTTTGGGTGCATTGGATTCACTAAATTACAAGATTAAAATCGATTTCACCTGCTTCTTTTTACTTCCCATTTACAGCGGGGTAGAAAGATGGCTGCTCCTAAATGCTCAGAGGAGATACACAGTCGTCTTTGGAGTTTCACACAAAAGGGGAAAGTTTTCTGAAGGCTCTAAAAAATGCCAAAAGTTGAAAATTAAATCTACACTGCAGTTTCCACCTAGCCCAATTGTAAATCTGAATTATATATTTCCCTGAATACACGCATATTTTAAAAAAAAACCAATAAAATTTGAGACAACATATTAAGTCAATTTCACAGTTATAAATATTTCAAATTACACCTACACACTATAAATCACAGGAAATAAAATTCAAGTAATAGAAAAAGAAGAGAGGAGCAAAATAAAAGGTGAGGTTATTTAGAGAGGGATATATCAGTAAGAACTGCACCATTGGGATAATTTCGTTCGAAAAAATTCTGCTTGACTAACTGAACTGCCTGTGAATAACTTCAAGAGCTAATAACTCTTACAAGAAAAGCAATGAATTCTTTCTTTAAATTCCCGGATGTTCATCTTTGTCTTTGAAAAACAAAAATCTTTTCTTCCCAGCACTGACCCCAGCAGAGCTTGCCCCAAGTGGAGAGAAGCAGAGGGCCTGGGGCACCTGGTGCTGGGGCTCATGTGACAATCGGACACAGGAGTTGGCAGTAGTGTTCACAGGACCGATGCGCTGACTGTTATCTCCGGGAAGTGCCAAAGGTGAAGCTCGGTGTGTCTTGCGATTTAGCATTCATTTTAAAGAAAACACCCAATGTACTGGCATCAAGTACACACCCTAACAGAAAATGAGCAGCACGGTTTCTGCTATGTATGTTTAAGGAAAGGGAAGGGGCTAATCCCAAAGGCAATTTAAATAATGGTATTTTATTTTTATATATAAATAAATGTTCTGAGAAATCTCAGACTTTAGTGCATTGTTGTAAAAAATTAGTGCAGTTTTCTCATTAAAGTTTTTAGCGCTCAAGGAATAAATCTATGTCTGTTCATAGTCTCTTTCACTGTACATTAAATGTTCACACTGCGAAATGTCTAACTGAAGGTTTCTATACTGGTCTGTTCTTAAAAATCAAGGTAAATGGATTTCATGTTCTGTGACAAAACATGGCAATTATTTTTGGCAAAGAAATTAGAAAAATATGAGATCGTAGTTTAGAAATGAAGAGCTTGTTGATGTAAAGCATAGGCAATACATAGGAAAAAGCTTTTTTTAAGATTGTATTTTTAACAGAACTTTATCCTTCATGCAAAATGTTTTCTCGGCAGCTAACTTAAAAAAATATTTCAGCTTTATTTGGGGATGGAGACAGTGACAGGAGTCAGGGTGAAGGGCGAAGGAGAGGCGCTTAACCAAGCCTGCTCTCCGTCCCAAGTCTCTCCCATACAGGAGCAAAGGAATACCCGCAGGCATCTTCCACGCACTCCTCTCCTTTTCCAACGTCTTGGAATGGAGAGGGCAAGGAAACGTAGTTATAAAACACTGGCTCACACTTCGGCCCCAAGTTCTAGTACCCCCGTTTCAATGACAGTCACATATTTATCATCAATCTGGACCAGAAGTACTGTCTTGTCGATGTGGGATCTAGTACCTGGATCTCTGCTGCAAGGCACCCATCGGTGAATCACCTGATGATTCAGAATACAGTAAGTTAGTGAGAGACCTCAAAAACATTCACAAAATTCACTCAAAATTAGAGGTAGTAATTCTGTTCGGTAATTTAGCAAAAGGTACATTTAAAAAAACATACGCATAAATTATCCAAACACATGCAAACAAGTCAGTCAGGCTACAAAAAAGTGAGCGCATGGGTCAGCTTCGTGAGAGAACTTACATGGCCTTCCATGCCCTCCTGAGGACTCCAGTCTTTCCAGCTGTTTCTCCCAGCTTTTAACCGAATAGCCTCCTCAGGCCACTGCAGCTCTTTCCTTTTTGACAGGTTGATCCCATCCAGAATCTGACTGGGATCGACAATCTATATTGCAAATAAATACGGGTCATTTCCAATTCAATTTTTTCTCGATGATGACAAATTACATAATCTCAAACAAAATTTCTCTCACAGACTCGTTGCGTCTCAAGTTCTCCACTGCCTATAACTGAACAAAAAACAATCTAGAGGGCCACCTCCTGAATTCCTTTTAGCCCCCTGGCTGACCTTACTGCAACGCCCACACACCAGCAGCTGGCAACATTCAAACATATGCTAGTCTTCAGCCTAAGTAACAGGAAGGTGTGTTCTCATCAGAATCCTTCACTCGACAAACGAGAAGTAAAAACAAATGAGTGACACAAACAGCACAAGAACCAGGTGCTTACTCACTTGGACTCGGTAAATCACGTCCCCCCTTTTGGCCTGTGAATTATTGGCAGGACTTAAGGTGTTGCCCGGCTGGGCGTCAGTGGCACTGCTCTGACCTCCCTCTGTCCCAAGAAAGCCCACGAGAGTGTGATGTTTGCAGGCCGGGATGCTCTGGCTGGAGCTGCTGGAAGAAGGCAGGCCATGCTGCACGCAGGCCATGCCGCTCTGACCGGAGGGCTCCATCTGGTTCACCATAGAGAGGCGGGACTGGATGGAGGACGGTAAGTTTCGAAGCGATATCTGACTTGTGGAAGAGCGCCGACAAGGCACAAATCCCGTGGTGGACATCCGGAGGGACGAGTGCCGGCTGCTGTAGCAGTAAGAAGACTGGCTGGCCACTGAGGCGCGAGCAGGGGACTGTCTGACCAGGCTTGACTGTACGGAGTGGGAGCTGTGGCTAGTGCCTAGCGAAGGATAAACAACAACAGCATTCTAAGTGCAATGATTCAAACGCGGGTTTTTTTTTTTTCTTTGTAGTTTCTAAGAGCTTTTCCCTTAAGTAATTACTTGGTCAATTCACTGAATTTAAATTATACCTAAAACTTTTTTAAAAAAAGTTTATATTTATACCTACAACTTTTTTAAAAAAGATTTTATTTGAGAGAGAGAGTGCAAGAGAGCATGCAAGCGTGCACACGCACACGTTGGAAGAGGGATAGAGGCAGAGGGAGAGACAGAATCTCCAACAGACTCCCTGCTGTACGTGGAGCCCGATGTAGGGCTTGATCTCCCAACCCTGAGACCATGACTTGAGCCAAAACCAAGAGTTGGACACTTAACCGGCTGTGCCATCCAGGCACCCCTATACCTAAAACTTTTAATGTTGTCAAAAAGAAATAAATATCTGAGATTTGTTTTCTTGTGTGGTTTTGATAATAATTTTAATTTGCTAATGCTTTTTAAAATTAAAATTCTGGGACAAAACCAAGACATATAATTTCAGCAAGTATCAGGATTTAACACTGAGATGAATCCTAAAATATCTTCCACAGAAATATTTCAGAATAATAAGAATGCCTCTTTAATATTTCAGAAATGAAATATCTCATGAAATGAGACCACAAGAAATATTTATTAAGGATCTACTATGTGGTAAGATCTGTAACTACTACTTCTCAAAAGTATAGAATTAATGTCCTTTCAATCCATTCCAATGACAAACTACACAGTCTATAGAGAGATGGTGATACCACACTGTAATTTTCATATCCATTAAGGGATTACTACTAAATATGAATCACCAACTGAATAGCAGGTCCTTCTGTGTTGGTTTGATATGATTCCTCAGGTTCATCTTTTTCCTGACTTATTATAATAGTAATGTGAAGATTAGGAAATAATTAACTATATTGAAAAAATTGCTCCATGTACTTTCTATCTGAAAATAAAGAGCTGATCAAAATAAGAGCATTTAAAAAAGCACAATGAAAGTTCTAGCTTTTCACTCAGAAGTTACAAAAGAACATACAAAATGTTGGTAATACATCTATTTTGAGTCTTAATTCCAATGCTATTGGATTTTTTTTTTTT